TGGGCTACGGGAGACCGGCCCAGGTCTCAAAAAGGTTTCCTGTCCCTGTAAAGTGTGGAGTAGGCATTGCATGATCTTTGCATTCATTTACCAATTATTACAAAATGTTTGTTGTTATTTACACATTCTCTGGGTTGGTGAGAGGAAGGATCCACACACCGTAGTTTCTCCATCACTGCCCAGAGACAGGAAGGAGGAATGAAGTTTAACAGTAGCCAAAACAGACTTTGATGATCCCTCCATTCCAGCCATCCTAGAGACAGTTGTTATTCCTGCTTTTGCCCTGACTAGAATTCTTTCCTGTCACTCCTATTTTTTTCTGGTTGCCATTCGCTTATCTCCTATTTTTTAATCTGGATATTATTCCATCTGCCTAGCATTAAGTGCTTAATTCTTCCGTCTTTTCTCTTCTTAACATCCATATATATACATATGGAAATCCTCTTTGCACACTATTTCCCCCCACTTGTAGGTACTATTATTTCTTCCCTTTCCCTTCCCTCTCTATCTGGTATGGCTCCAGTAGGAGAGAGGAATGAAGCTATCAAAAAAGAAAAAGTCCTGAATGAGTTGTGCTTCAGACAGCATGTTAGGGGATTGGGTTGAACTAGACCACTCTAATGGTGAGGCTGTTCTGGCCAAGGACACAGATCTCCTGCTGGTGAAGTTGCTTCAGCAGGCGTTGGCAGAAGCTGCAGCCCACATCTAAATCTTGGAGGACATGGCAGAGACTGATGTCAAGAATGTTCTACAAAGGGGAGAAGCATTGCCAGCAGTTTGTATCTCATTCTCCCTGGGACTCTAGCTGTGGCCAAATGGGCATGAAATCATCTCTGCACACTCTGCAACATGCCATTGTGGCTTCTCAAATTTCCTGCCACTTTTCCACTCAACAGATTGACAGTGACATTTTCAGCCATGTGTGTAGTGCGTGCCATTTTGAGTCAGCCTTTTTTCACAGTCCCCCTCCTCCCTCCCAGCCAGATCCCAAGATTGTCAACCACACCCTAAAAGCTGGAGGCCTGGAGGCTTATTATGAGACCTTGGCCAGAGTTGGGCCAGTCCTCTGGTCCTCTGACTTAAAGAGAGCAGCATGGTCACCTGCATGGCCAGAAACAGCATGGCCAGTTTCATAACCAGGACCAGCATGGCCATTAGCATCACCAGTTTCATTCTTCTACCTTTTCCCTTGGGTGATGAGGCACAACTATAATCGTCGAGGTCTTTGTTGAAGAGGTGCCTGCCTCATCAGGCAGCATTTTCTGGGGAAGGTAAACAAAAGCCTCACCACGCAGTAGTCTTTGGAGAAGTTATGCAGTCTTTAATGTTGCAGTTAATATCACTTTTGGAAGTCCAGGAAACATCTCAGTTTGGCCACATGGGGGCCTCAGATGCTTCTATTAAAGATTCCTTAGCAATTTCTCAGATATTCAGAGTGTTTTCTAAGAGGCGTATTCAGAGTGGGTCTCAGGCTTCACAATAAGGTAATCTCTGCTCTGTGAGTGGGCTTCTGAGATGGTAAAAGAAAGGCAGTAGTGCCTACTCACTCCTCTGAGAATGTGGATTGTGATTCCAGTGTGGAGTCTTTGCTCCTAAGGGGGACCTACAGGAGTCTAGGGGCGATCCTGGTGATTCTGAAGAGGAAGAAGGTGGGTAGTCTGATTCTGGTTCTAATCAGGATGAGCCTTCTGACCGCTTGTTTCATTCTGAATATTTTCGCTCCCTGTTAACCATGTTTTCTGCAGCATTGAGGTTTCCTTCATCCAGGCCAGGCCAGAGTATCCATTGTGAGCGGGCTTCAGAGATGAGCAAAAGGGTTACTTCTGTCCTTCAACAACCTGGGAGGGAAGTGCCCTTTCCTTAAGTCTTCTTCCAACTGGTGAGGTCAGAATGAGCTACATTGTTGCAGAGTAAAAAAGGAACCATAATTACGTAGAAGTTTTACTTACCAGATAAACAGGGGCTTGATGAACATAAGGTCGCCACAGTTAACTCCCCTATAGCCTCTTTACTTGGGTTCTCTTGTCCCAAGGGAGTATGAGGGCTTCCTCAGAGGCCCAAGGAAAAGCAAACTGATAACTCCTTGAAGATGGTTCATTCAGATAACATGCTTTCCAGATTCATGCCCTGGCCAAGGGTATTCACAAACGTGTTAGTGGCACTGGTAGCTCACC